ATAAACAGTCAATAAAGCGAAGGAAGACAAAGCATAGATAGCGAAGATGTAAAGTACAAATCATTCTCAGATGAAACCAATTGTTGCTCAATAATAAAATGAATAAATAGTTACCGAATATGTATGATTAAAGAAACCTAACAAACAAAATTACACAGCCACGAAAAAAAAAGTTAAATTGTATAAACTAATAAATACAGTAAAAAAAGCAAAAAAAAAAAAAAATTATAAGTAAATGAATAGTAGAGACCGACCGGACTGTTAATAACATGCTTCTGATGACGGGAAGAACATTTCCCAAAACTAAAAAAAAAAGTAATAAATAAAAGGAAATTACAATCATAAGGAAGTTATATTTACAAAATACTCCATATAAAAAATTATATTAGACGATATCTGATCTCATAAAGACTTTATCTTAAACAATATAGTAGATAGAACCTAACACGTTTTATATATCAACAATTCCGATACAGGCAAAGTTAAATCTGGTCATTTATGAAATAATAAGTTAGTTATGTGAGCTATTTCCATTTTAGGCTATTTAAGTGTAACATTAAAAAATGAAACGAGATGAGCAAATTTTTATTTTCATTACAACTCGACCTCTCGGCCTAATCTATAACAAAATAAACAGGAAGATCGATGTGGCTGTTTTGTAGTTTGAGTGTTCGTGTTAACAAAAAGGAATGAAAGAAAATTGATTATATATGTTTGTTGTAAAAACTATAAAATTATTAAAATATGTTTAATCAACCTTCTGTTAAGTTGGGTTGAAAATTTAAAAATAAATATTTTTTTCTATCATTTTATTATCATTATAAGTAATTATAATAAGGTCCAAATAAATAGGTGTGTATATTCATTTATATATTCTGTATCTAAAGGTATCTACGTCCGCGATATCGGAAAATATGAGTCAAATAATGACAAAAACATTGTTGTTTTTTTTTATTGATTCCTTCACAATATAATGCGAAAAAAGTAGACTTTGTATGTATTCAATTATTTACTAAAACCTAGAGATACTGTGCGTCACTGATTTAGACCAGATAAAGATAACCGATGTTCGTCATCGATGGCTATTGAGACTATTACCTCAGATAACAATGGTATCGTTATTTCGAATATTACAAACAAATACAAAATTTGTAATCATCAATAAAATAATCTAAATAGATTTGATTTTGGTTCTCAAACGTATTAGTTTTAAGTAATAAATATTATTTAAAGCTACAAGCGATTAATCGTTTTCTCCAAATCTAACGTGTAATACGTTTATAATTTAATGAAGGATCTTGAAAATAGATAATTGACAGTATTAATAGATAAATGACTATTGCGGAGCTAAAAATAGCCGATGAATACAAAACAAACGTAGACACCTAGACCAGTAAATACCTTAAGATAACAGAAGAAGCTATAGTCACAAACTAAGTATTGCTGTTGAACAAAAGCTCGAAATGACATAAACTTGCCTATTTGCATATCGTAATCCATAGCTTTCCTTGCTTTATTTCGCCAGGATAAAAGATTCTCATTTATGTAAAACACCATCAACAATAAAAAAAAAAATCTTTAACGGGGAAATGGACATAATTATAAACCTATAAAATATAGCTTATACATGGTGTCTTTAAGGACCGATAAGCGTTTATAATTTTACTATTTATTTAAGTTATAACAACATTTCGAACTACTTTGATGATTTACCAAAATCCAAACAAAAATTCTAGAAATTCTAACATATCTCTATTATGTAAGTTTATTATAATTTTTTTGTAGTTCACATGGACAGTCCATGTTAGACAATAGACTGAGGATGCAGTACCGGGTTTCGGGAATTGACATGAATTAAAAGAAATGCGGCGAAGAATGGAGTTTTTTGTCTTTGTGGACTAGAAATATAATTACATAATACAGATGTGTTGGAATTTATAGAATTTTTATGTTATAACTTAAATAAATAATAAAATCATAAGAGCTTATCTATCATACCATATATAAGTAAATCACGTGTCCTTGAAAAACAAACTACTCTAAGTAACTATATTAAAATGTACCATGAACGTAACATAAGCTATAAAATATAATTGCTACTAACTGATTTTATTGAACATTGTAACACGTATCCATTTACACTACATTATAAAATGGATTTTGACATTAAAACATACAGAGAATAAACATAAAATATTTTGTAAATTGATGAATTGTATTTTTTCCCGCATTTACTACTTTTTTAAAAATAATGAATGGCATAATATAATTAGTTAGTTGGTTGAAGTGTTATTCATAGTACTAAAAACATGATGTTATATTTAGTAAAAGTAACTTATTTTTGTATACTCTTTTGTGATAAAATTACTAATGTTTAAATTGTAGTATCTGATGACAAAATTAAAATCTAAATAATATTCTTAAGCAGAATTATTTTTAATTTGAAAAAAAATATGTTAAGGTATAGCAAATTAGATTAATGATTTAATTATGACAGTTTTAAAATAACAAAAATAATACAATAAATGTTTAAATCGCGTTTCTTGACCGCCTAAAGAATCATATTTATTTTGTATAATAAACCCTAACCCTGATATATATATATATATATATATATATATATATATATATATATATATATATATATATATATATATATATATAGAGAGAGAGAGAGAGAGAGAGAGAGAGAGGATGTACAAGTAATCCACTATGAATTGTTTTTTCCATAATTTTATAAATTTATTTCATTCGGAATATTTTATTATGAAATCGAAAATTTAATTTTAACTATGTATTTCAATATAAATATTACTAAACACAAATTAGATAAGATATTCATATTATTAAAGAATATTATGTCACAGACAGACAAAATTGCAGTTTTATGGTGAAAAGAAGAAAGGGACAAATTATTCGAAATTAATAAATAAAATAACTTTTTTAATGCTTAAAAAATCTAAACTGTATACTATTTAATGATTTAGAAATCTAGTATGTAGTTCGCCTATGATTTTTAAAAATAACAAACGGACGAAAATAAGAATGCTTCAATAGTATAATCATTGTAACCGCAAAGGTTAAAACTAAGTGTTATACCGCCTTCTAAGCGGCGTTGTTAACTTTGGAAATTAACGTCCAAACTATAAAAATAATTGACAAGTAGGAAAAAATGCCGTGAAATGTTGGGTGATTTGCGCCCGCAATAAATTATTTATTAGAGCGAATTGAGAACATGCTGTCATTACTGTTTTGTATACCTCCAATCCCAAGGTTATTCTACTCATAAAACATTTCTAACTTATGTCATAAACATCACTACGACTTTTAAAACATTTTAGTCAACGCTAAAATATAGAGGCTAAAATATTTTGTCTAGCAAATTATAATCAATATATATATATATATATATTTCTATTTTGAATATCACATCAAGGCTATTTACGTCCTGAAAACGTATAACTCTTTAGAAAAAAAAAAAAGTATTTTATTTTGATATATCTTGTATTTAGAAACATTAATATCACAAGTTACGTTTATCAGGTTAATAAAAAAATGTCAAATATACAGATTATTTTAAAGCTGAGTTTTAAATAATTAATTGTTTTAAATCTATTCTTATGTAAATTATAAGATAAGATAATATTTAAGAGTTAAATGTTTACAATACAGGTCGGAGCTTGTCTTAGTACGGAAACCTTTAAAAAGCTGAAGGTTATTAAAGGAATTTTCGATTATGTGAGAACTGTTTGAATCCGTTTACAGTTGTGTCACCGACTTCTCAAGCAGTCCTTGACATCTAATAATTTTTTCTCGTCGCCGAGCTGTTAAAATGTGCAAGTAATGAGTTTCTTTTTTTTAACGAATTGTTAAACTTCCAATAATTTGCGATGCCATAATGTCATAAACATTGTTTCATAATTAAACAAGAAAGAAGGCTTGAATTTCGTTTAAATGAGGCAAATACCGCCCGTCATTTAAAAATTATAAGAAAAACATCAATAAGCATTAATGATTTGTTGTTAAATAAAGCCTCAGCGACGTCGACATAAAAGAAACGAAAAAAAAAACAAATAAATAAAGTTAATTAAAAAAAAAAGATATTTGGAACAATCTATAGTTGTGATTATTTACCGCAACTCCCAAAATATATAAAATAAAATAGTATCAGGGTTAAAAATTTGAATTATTAAATAAATAAACAAGTAATAATTGATGTACAACGATTAATAACGATTGTCAAACATTCCCACGGGACATGACTGGATTAAGGTTTCATAAAAAATTAGCTTGTACAAGATGTTATTTATGTATACTTATTAATTGAATGAACATTTGTATAATATATTCTGAAGCCATTATTATTTTTTTTTTTTTAATTTGTGAGTCAATAACATCTGACAATCGCTAATTACGTTCTTAAGAATATCGATCGATTTATCTATTCCAACCTTGAAAAAGAACGACAAACTTACAAATAGGAGAAAAACAAGTTGTTTTTTTTAAACAGAAATAAGAATACAAGCAGAAAAAAAAAATCGGTGTCGATTAACTGTCTGTTCGACAAGAAGATTTTATTTAAAATAATTAGCGATTTCACATATCAACTGTTTAGACGTCGTCTATATTTATCAATACACAGTACAATGAATGGAGTCAAAGATGACAACAACGAAGATTATAATTAAACATACTGAGAATCTTAGATGGGGGAAATCGCGAGAGAATTATATGACACAATTATTAAAATTGCTTTAAATATGGTCGGGAAACAAGTATGTAAGGAATTGAGAAAACAGTCTTTCTAAAGTTAATGTTTTTTATAAGTAAGAACCACCAATTTATCTTTCTCATGTAGGCAAGAAAGCAGGAATTATTTCGTTTGTGTGATCTATTTTTACGAAATCAAATAAGAAGTTGTTTGGGAATCTTTATTTTTTTTTTTAAATTAAGTTACACGCTCTTCAGAATGGATTAGTTATAACAGCTGAGGAACACGATTACAAGAATTTCAACTCTATCAAAGAACAATTTAAGATCATAAGGGTTGGTTTGTCGCTTACCTGCGTCATGAGACGATCCGCTCCTGTTCCTTCCTCATCCTTGAAGATGATGTCCGGGTTGTAGTTGGGGACCAGATCCAAGAACCTGCGGTCGACCCTGGTGATCCTGCCCTCGACGAGCCCGCTGGCGGCGAGGGTGCCCTCGCTGACGTTGGGGACGTGCTGCTTGAAGACGAGAGGGCTGAGAGGAGCGTTTCGCCGGCGGCCGGCCCCCCGGCCCGGGCCGCAGCCCGCCGCCCCCATCAGGCACACGCTCACAGCTAACAGCCAAGCTAGCCACATCACCTTACCCCCATCGGCATGCCCCGACTGCTAGCAAGCCTCTCCCCTAGGCCTCCCCTCCAGGGTTGGTCCCCACTCCTCCACCCGCTTTGATAAAAATATTCCTTATCTCTACCTGCCAGCTACTACAAAATTCAACACCTTTTCCTGACCTGCCCACTGAAAGAAAAATTAGTAAATGTACCAGTTCACTACTAATAACTAAATAAACTCATCTATCATATATAATATATAAAATAAATTATTCGGCTATATCCATCATTAAAATATCAATTATACTTTTGTCCAATAGTTTTGTTTCAATATACCATAATGAATATTCAAATTTGAAAACCACGAACTAATATTTAAAAAAATAAAATAAATGTTGGATAAAAATGTTAATTTATTTTTCTATCTTAATAATTTATTTTTTTGTTTATGTTGAAAGTATTAATAAGTTACATACATATAATTCAATCAATTTTGATATTTTTATTTTATTTTTATCTTGAGCGATTTGGTTGTTTTTTCTCTGTCCCTTAACAATAATAATAAAAGTTTTAGTATAATAATTATTTTGTCTAGTTTCTAGTATATATATGTATATATATATATATATATATATATATATATATATATATATATATATATATATATAGAGATATATATATATTACTGACTAATGTTAATACTTTTTTTTTAATGAGCAACATATTAATTTTTCATTTTTTAATTAATATTTTAAGACCACAATTCAATATTCACTTTTCTCTCTTTCTATCAAAGATAAGAATATACATATCTCGATATATATATGAAAACTATCAATATTTTAGTATCTTCCTATTGTTTTCAAACGTAAAAAATATTGAGATAGTATTTTATCAATTTTTACAAGTAGTACTTTATTACAGATTTAGTTACGTAGTTCCTCCGATGTTTCAATATACCATAATGAATATTCAAATTTGAAAACCACGAACTAATATTTTAAAAAATAAAATAAATGTTAGGATAAAAATGTTAATTTATTTTTCTATCTTAATAATTTTTTTTTTTTTTTTTGTTTATGTTGAAAGTATTTATAAGTTACATACATATAATTCATTCAATTTTGATATTTTTATTTTATTTTTATCTTGAGCGATTTGGTTGTCTTTTCTCTGTCCCTTAACAATAATAATAAAAGTTTTAGTATAATAATTATTTTTTCTAGTTTCTAGTACATATATGTATATATATATATTACTGACTAATGTTAATACTTTTTTTTTAATGAGCAACATATTAATTTTTCATTTTTTAATTAATATTTCAAGACCACAATTCAATATTCACTTTTCTCTCTTTCTATCAAAGATAAGAATATACATATCTCGATATATATGAAAACTATCAATATTTTAGTATCTTCCTATTGTTTTCATACGTAAAAAATATTGAGATAGTATTTTATCTATTTTTACAAGTAGTACTTTATTACAGATTTAGTTACGTAGTTCCTCCGATGCGTCTGAAAAGAAGATGGCCTCGTGTATCTACTTATGTAAATATATTATCAGAGTGCTACCAATAAGTAGTTTCTCAACAAGCGTTTTCATGTAATTGTATTATTACTGTGTGCACATTTACTAGTTGTATTTTTTTATGATAAAGTCGTAAATTTCAATGAATAAGAAAAAAAAATTAATGTATTAATAATTTATTACCAGTTTAGTTATTTAGTATTACATTATTACTAATTTAGTTATTTAGTACTGATTTAGTAATTATGAAGGTAAATTGCATCAGCCTAATTTATATTATCTTTGCTTTCACAAATTGTTAATATAACAAACCAAAATACGTAATTTAAATTAAAATGTTCCTTGCGAAAAGAATTAAAAATATGCAATATAAAGTTTGAAATAAACGTATCCAATAATAAGAAATTTATTTCAAAAAAGAAATATTATACTTAATTTTTGTTTTATCACCACATTAATAGAATACTATAACTTTTTTTTTCTAAAAAAGTAAAGTAAATAATAATCAACAACTATGGTATTTCCTTTCATTCTAATAAGACTAAAGAAAACAATAAAAATCCCTTATTACCAATAAAAAAACTTTTAGTAATTATATTATAAATCAATTGCTATGCAACGTTTCGACCATTGTCAAAAACAGCGTTTATCAACAATTATATTAAAAACATTTTTTGATCTTCTTTTGCATAGAATATGAATTTGGTAATAAAAGAATTTCCTTTTTTTAAAGAATAAAATACCAACAAGGATTGATTGACAAAAAGATGTCTTAAGAAAAAACTGGGGTATATTTATAAAATATAATACCAAAAATAATTTTGTTTTTTTTATTTTATAGGTTGAAATCGGGATATGAAGATACGTTTGGAAATGGCCAAAAACGTTACGCATAAATAGATATGTGATGCTGCTAAAGGTTTTATATTACTTATAAAGATTTTGTCCACCCTTTAAATGTGGAAGACAAGGCGAGTCTTCAGGTGATCCCAGCGCTGTTCTTACAATCGCGTCAATGGTTTTGAAAGCCATTGGAGACGTGAATTAAAACAACAGAGGCTCAGGACTGAGATAACTGGAAATGAAATGTTACATGAAATAGTTTTTTTTTCCTTTAGAATCATTTAGAGTAAGCCAAAGAATGAGAACTTGGTAAAAACGAAAATCTGTTATTTTATTTTGCTTTACAACATATAAGTTGTTCTTCTATGTCATATTTAGGATTTGATTGACGACTTGAGATTAAACATTTTTATGACAAAACTTCCAAGAGAATGATATCCAAAGGACAAAATTTGCAGATGAAAAAATGAACGCTTTTATTTACTTCTGAACGCTTTAAATGAACGCTTTAAATTATCGACAGAAAGTCAATAATTTAATTCAGGGCCAGAACCCAATGGATGTAAGGATGAAATAAGTCCCTAGACACTCTTTGTTTTATTATCAACTTAATTAGCCAACAGTATCATATATTACACTATTTTTCTGTATTAATAGGACCTTTCTTTGATTACTCGTTATAGTAATTCTACCCCGAGAGCCATAGAATAAACCGTAGCAGTTTTGAGCATCCTGGATAATTTATTTTTCTCAAAGATTGAAAAACACATATTCCATCTTTAAATATGTTAAAATGTAGAAGGATTTTTCACGCTATAGTATTCCTAAAATTTTTCATAATATTTATTTCATCATATTAAATTATAACAAGAAGAACTTATTGATGTAGATGCTTAAATATTGCGTGATCTCAAAATTGCAGATCACTATTGTGTTCAAAGGGAACAGGCTGCTTTCAGAAGACTTCAATTAGTAGTTTACTGTGTGGATAGTACTGATCATTACTGTACGGAAACGAGAGAAAGGAAATTTTGATTAAACAACGTATGGGAAAAATTAATGTTTAGATGGAATCAAGAAAATCTTTCTTAATAGTTGAGTTTGTTGACGTTTTCTAAAATGAAAGGTGACAAAACAAGATCGTATTTTTTTTCTCTGATCACAGCTAAGGGTTGTGGTAAAATTATTTATCTTGAAAGCTATCATCTACTTTAAACCAGCTCCCCTGGTTTGACTCTGTCTCTCTGACTTTGCGAGTAACTCTCGAGAACTCCGGCTGAGAGTACCTCTTATGTTTAAACCTTAAGTACTTCTTCTTCTTCTTTGTCTACCTCTGATGCCATTCCTAGCGTCGAGGAGCCTCGATTCAACGCAGCGACGCCTCTCGGTTTCGCCCAAGCTGCCTCATCTCTTGGAGAGTTTTCCCTCTCTTCCCTCCAATCCGCTGTATGTACTCCAGGTAGGAAATTCTTGGTCGGCCTCGAGGTATCCTCCCAGTGGGTCGAGCTGCCATCACTTTCCGAGGCTCTCTTTCATCATCCATCCGACAAACGTGGCCAAACCACTTCAGTTGTCAATTCAAGCATTGTCTTAAGCTCTACCACCTCCATTTCCTCCCGTATCCGTTCATTCCTGAAATGGTCCCTTCTGGTCTTACCAACGGCCCTCCGCAGCAACTTCATCTCAGCACTCGTTCCTCGGCTGGCCTGCTTGTCCAGCATAACCCAACTTTCACTGCCGTAAGTCAGGGTTGGCAGGTATACAGACTTGAATATATGTCTTTTCGTTTCATTACTAATGTCTCTGCGTCCCGTAATAGAATTACAGATAGGATAATAAATCTGGTTGGCTTTGGAAATCCTATTTGCTACTTCTGGGTCAATCATCCCAGTATTGCTTATGACTGTGCCCAAATTGGTGAATTCCTGCACAACCTCAAGTATCTCACCATTACATATCAGCTGGACATCTTGTTGTTCCTCTCTCGAAAGAAGTACGATCTTGCTCTTAGAGGTGTTGATTGCCATTCCTTTGCGAAGGAGCTCTTCCTGCCATTCCAGAAGAGCTTGTTGCAGTTTGTCTTTCGTATCTGCTATCAGTACGATGTCATCGGCATACAATAAGCTTTGAACCATAACATTCCTCATGTTCCATTTACCGATGACCATCCAAGCAGTACGGCGCTTACAAATTTTATGGATTTCAGCCATAAATATGATGATTAAGAGGGGACTGAGGCTGCATCCCTGTCTCACACCTCTCTCTAAGGTTTGGACTCTCTTCCATTGATCTTCACAACCCCTTTTGCTTCTTGATAAACCGATGTAATAGCTGTGATAAGATCTCGTAGGACATTTTTTTGCTTTCAAGGCATCCCATATTTCTTTTATGGGGACGGAGTCGAGCGCTACTTTGAGATCTAAGAATGCCATTTATATGTTTTTATTTCTGTCCCCAGCTTTCTCAGCGCTGCTTCTCAGTTTGAAGATGTGTTCTTGAATCTGCCTCTCTGGACGAAACCCTGCTTGTTCTTCTTCTATTTGATTCTCGACTGCGGCCCTTAGTCTCCTTTCTAGGATTGAGGTTTATAGTTTGTAAGCCACCGAAAGTAAGCGTATTGGCCTGTAATTTTCACAGACAATGGAGCTA